TTTTTGGCAAAATCGACTTGTTGAACTGAGATTAAAGACATGGTGGGTTAGGTCAGCAGATCCAGCTTTGTGATGGCAGTGCTAATAATAAAACTCAGATTAGAGGCAAGATAGCTCAGAACACAAACCCGTAGAAGACGAAAAAGCCCGAATGGCAGCGAAATCACCGCCATTCGGAGTTTTCGCACGAACAATGACATACTCGCAAGACTTAAGGTGGAGATCAGTGATTCTTTTGTACGCGTATAACGTTCATCTTGACATGGTCTCAGTCGTGTTGGGTGTCGCACAGCGTACACTGAGCAGATGGCTACAGTATTTTCAGAGATCTGGGAACGTGGATACGAAGATTCGCGAAAAGCAGCGCTCATCTCGATGGCCACGAGAAGTGCTTATATTTATTGATGACTACGCCAAAGTTCACCCTTGTTTCTACTTTGAAGAAATTAAGTCTGCAATTAAAGAGCGATTCCCCGACCTCGGCAATATTTAAGACTGGACCGTGTGTCGAGCGCTTCGGTTTGACTTGGATTTGTCTCGAAAGAAACTGACCAAGCGCGCACGTGAAAGTTGTTTCGTCGGAGCGAAACCAATACCTTGAACGACTCGGTCCATTCTATTCGTGCCCAGATCAGCTAGTTTTTGCTGATGAAACCACTAACGACGGTCGGTCTATACTGCGTCAATACGCGTGGTCACCTCGCGGACAGCCTGCTATTGTATCACTACCATTTTTCGCGCGGTAAAAGGGTCTCTGTGCTTGCTACGACTGATATAACCGGGTTTTGTTTTTGCTTGGGGCAAGTTGAAGGAACTTTCACGCGAAAAGCATTTCACGAAATATTGCGCTCTAAGATTTTACCTTTCCTAAACCCATGGCCACTTCCGCGTTCAATTTTGATTTTGGATAATGCTCGCATTCATATGTACCCTGAAATAGAAGATTTAGTGTACTCGACTGGGGCTATGCTTTTTTTTGTACCGCCGTATTCTCCAGAGTTAAATCCAATCGAGGTGCAATTTTCTCTTTTAAAGCGATGGATTCAAAAGCACGCGAACATGGCGTTTAGAGAGAACCCCGTGGTAGTACTCCGCGTATCTATGAGCATGTGTACAAAAACCACGACGATATAGGAATAAATCTTTATAGACACTGTGGGTATAGTGATAAAAGGTTAGCTTTCAAATAGAAAATCCAGATAAAAGTTAACTTTCAGATAGAAAATCCAGATAAAAGTTACCTTTCAAATAGAAGGTCCTCCTCGTTCTAATGTTCTTCATCCTCGATATCCGCACTTTCGGACAGAGGGGGATATGCCTCTCTGTGCATTTCTACAGCGGCCGCTACGTTCTCATCAATAATCCTTTGTTGTTTATCAACGTACTGAAGTTGTTGGAACGTCGAACTTGTCGGCACTTCCAGGGGCGCATCAGAGGGGAGTCTGTCTTGAGTTGTAGCCATGTACAGCGTCGTCGCTAGCCCAGCGGATACTTCTCTGCTGCGTAAAAAATCAGCTACCAGAGGAAGTTGCTCCTGAATTCTAGACTGCGTTGCACACCTTATTGTCGTAGAAGGAGGGCTTTTGCGCATGTAGACGAATAATTCTATCTCGAATTCAGACCGACCCCTTTTACAAAGTTGTGCGCGTCTCCAGATCATCTCGAGCTGCTGAGTTAGCTCTTTTTGGTTGGTGGACGCAATTGGCTGGAAAAGCTTCTGTGATGCATTATTGCTAGGCTTTACGTAT